GTGTCAATAATATATGATATATAAAATAGTATTAATTGAAACTTTATACAATATTTTAATTAGTATTAATACTTTTGGTACTTTGGTTTGATATCGGTACTTTAAATTATCGTATCGAAAATTTTCGGTAATTATCGATACCAATATCAAAAAATTTTTTCGGTATTGGTTTTACAAAATACCGTACCGAATGGTACCGATCGGAACCCTAGGTACACTTATTAAGAAACCACAAAACATATATTTAAAGAACATTATGCAGACCAAGTTAAATTAAAATTTTTAAAAATCTTAAAAGAGGAAATTTCAAGTAAAATAGAAGTCAAAGGGAATAAATCCAACTGACAAAGTAAACTTGAAAAAATAATAACCGAATCGAAAAAAAATTTTAAATACATAATCAAAAGAATATTTAGCAAAGATCTAATTTCATTAATAGAACAAACAAATGGAACAAAAACAAAAGACATACTAAAAAAAATAATAGGTAGGATAACAAAAGTATTTCAAAAACTATAAACAAAAAGATATGAATGCTTCTAACAATGGAAAATTAGCAAAAATATTAATAGAATCAATAAAAGAAGTAAAAACAAAGGGTATCCATATAATAATTAATCTGTAATACAACCAAACCAATAAAAAGTAATAGATAGACAAGAAGAAATATCAAATATATAGTAAAAGCTTATAGAAAATTGATTAAATCAGGGAAACAATATTATTAATTTCAATTTTTTATATTTATATAATAATAATACTGATGGAGTCTTAATACATTAGTCTTAACAAGTATCAGTAGAACAAATTAATAGCAACAAGCTGATATAAAATAAATTTGATATAGCCTAATATATATCTAGAATAGTTTATAGATAATAACTCTTGTAAAAAAGTAATATATATAAATTAAATAAAGCATGTTAGGCAAGGTCTAACTAGTTGAAAAAAAAATTTATTATAAAAAATATTTGTTTAAAAACTTTTATACAAAGTGTATATATATTATATAAATAATAATAATAATACTATAATTCTTTTATATTATAAATTATTTAATAAAACTTATTTAAGTATTAAATCTAATATATTGATTTTAAATTTTTTTTTAATTAATAAAAATATTATTTGATATGAAATTAAAAATTTATTTAAAAAAAACAATAATATAATAATATTTTATTAAAGTAAATAAATTAAAAATCAATAAATATAAAAAAAATCAATAATTTTTTTATCTTAGATTTACTGATATATATAGTATATATATGTTATATTCAAATATTTGGATTCAAATCATATTTATTTAAATTATATAAATATAGAATCTTTAGTTTTTCTAATAATTGTAAACTAAAACAAATAAAAATAAAAAAAATTATATAAGAAAAATTTTTAATTTAATATTAATACAAGTTTATAATTTTTAACTAATATAATAAACTTTAAATATAATATATTAACTTGAATAAGATTAATTTTAAAAAGATTATTAATATAAATATTTATATATAATAGTATTAATTTAAAAGAATATTTTAATAGTTTATCATATATAGTATATAAAAGTTATATTTTACTAAATATTTATATTCTTATATTTGATAGCTTAAATTAATTAGAAATCTTTGAAATATTTATTAAAAATATTAAAGTTATATTTTATTTAATTAAATAGGCTTTTAGATTTAATAATTTATATTAATCAAAAAATTTTAAAATATTTATTAAAAAGTATATATCTATACTAATTATTTTTAATTATATAATTATATAAGCCAAAGATAAAATATAACAAGATAATTTGCTAATAATTAAATATATTTCCAAATAAAAAAATTAATTAATTTTTTTTATAATAAATATAATTAATATAAGATCTAATAAATTAATTAATAATCTATGGGTTTATAATACAGTAGTTAATACTTCACAGATTAGATCACAAGATATTAGTTCAATTCCATATGAAGGTGATTAAATAAAATTAATATAGTATTTAGTATTATAGCCAATTATGTGCCATTTTTCATAAGAAGCCATTTCACATACCGATCCAGTGGGTGTTAAGATTGTAATCTCCAGAAAAGGAGTTGTGGTGCAATGATTATCCAGTTGATGCTATAATAATTACCAGAAGTTGGATAACAAAAAAGGTATAAAAGGTATCTAGTTTGAGAAAAGATGGCTTAGTAATCATTTCCCTATAGTACCTGATATCTCTTTCTGCAAGTTATCGATAATTTGATTTGGATTAGAAGGTTTTCTCTATAGAGTTCTATTTGCTATAATAGATACTACCTCCAGTTTCTCCTTTTACTTTTTCTTAAAATATTTATGATTAGAAATAGAACTTAATATAAAATAATGACACTAATGAAGCATATACATATTAGTCTTGACTTGTCTAAAATAGCAGTCAATAGCAACAAGTCAATATGGGAGTAAAATCCAATATAATCTAATGGTGGTCTAGAATATTTCATATATAGTAATTACCTATATAAAAATATGTAAGATATATATGTGAACTAAATAAAAATCAACATTGGATAAGACTTAGCTAATCGAAAAAAATAAAATAAAATAAAATTAATTAATTGATTTAAATTAATATTAAGATTTTTATTTCTTATATAAATTCCATTTGATATACAAAACTATTATTTAATATTTAAAGTTATATATAATTAAATATATTGCAATTATAAATAAATAATCCATTAGTTAAAATTAGTTAAAATTAGTTAATTAGGTAGTATTAACTTTATTAATAAATAAAATATATTTGATATAAGGACTATAAACTATTTTTTAATAAAATTTTTATATTAAAAAAAATTAACAAATTTAATTTAGTAAAAATATATAATAGAATTTTAATAAAATTTTATATTTGTTATAGAATTTTATTTTTCATTTATTAATTATTTTATTTTTTCATGATTTTGTATATATTTTACATTCTGAATATATTTTATATTATTGAAATAAACCATTTTAAGAATTGTTTAATAAAAAATTAATCAAAGTTTTATTTAATATTACACAAAAATCAAAACATCAAAATAATTAATATTAAATGTATTTAATATTTAATAATATAGTATATTATTATATCCTTATATTATTATAATCATATAATTTTATAATTTATAAAACTAAACAATTTTTATATGCATTTATTATAAAAAAAACCAATCATTATTTTTAAAAATTCATATTGATTAATAGTAAAAAGAAATTTATATCAACATTACCATTGTAAAATCAAATTATTACCAATTAAATTAACATTTAGTCTATTCTAAGCTGCCATTTATTAGTAGAAATTCTTTAACAAATAATTACCGTACATACCATAATATAAAATAAAGAAGATAATTCATACTTCTCTATTGCTATTGAATATCCAAGTTGTTCAAAATATCTACGTACCAAGTTAGATTTTTTAGCAACCAATAATTCGATATTAAAGAGAAAAGCAAGCTCTTACCATTAATGGTAAATTGGTAAACTTGAGTTTTGTATCTTGCATCTATAAAGTTTCGATTATCCAGAACATAGTATTTTAGAAGCATAATCAATAACAGTATAAATAAAGCCTTATGCTTGATCTCTACTATAATCAGAATTTTTTTCTATTTCCTATTTCCTTAAAATTTACACCACATAGTATAATATATGACTAAAAGAAGGCATTACCATTTCTTCTACCTTTGCGTTTTGGTCCGCTTGGTCGTTGTGGTGAAGTTGGTGCTTCTTCTAATTTCTTTACTTCAACAAGTGGACCTACATATTAATGTGAAGTATTGTCAATATTCCTTCATTTTGTTTTAGTAGACAGAAAAATACAATAGTAAAAACTCAACTAATTGCATCATTATGTGATGATGATTGCCTTTGCCGTCTTAGCAGAGGTTTTAACTGATGTGGCTTCTGCAGTGGTTTACTTACTGAACCAGGGGATGGTGAGTCGGGTAGTGATTGAGGCTGCATCGGTGGTGGTAGTATTGATGGCGGTAGCATTGATGGTGGTAGCATTGATGGTGGTAGCATCGATGGCGATGGCTGAGTAACGGATGGTGGCATTGATGGATAGTTTGCGACTTCATTATCTATCAAATCTATTGATGAATTAGCATCATCAGCTTGTTTATACGAAGGTTTAAGATCGGGCCCCGTCACTGGTTGTGATTCTTGCTTTTTTGTTCTATCGTCTGGGAAAGTCTCTGCGTTATTTGCCGGGGTAATGTCATTAAGTTTATCAAACTCATATTCATAGGCAGACTCATATTCCGAGGTAATGTCGTCGTCAAACTCTTCATATGCCTCACACTCCACAGGAGGAACATCGACACCTAGATCAAACTGTTTTGTCACGTAATCTGTCAGACCAATGGTCGAAAAGGTGAGCTAAAGGTCGAATTATGCGACAAAAGAAAAGTAACCAAAAATTCGAACCATGGTCGTCGTTCGCCGAATTTGAGGTCTCGGTAAATCGGTCGTTCTGAATAAAAAAGATTTTTTTTTTTTTTTTAATTCAAAAAAAAAACATCAAATCAAATGTCATGTACATTTGAAATTTACATTAAGCTCCGGGTTGAAATTTACTTGACGCGTTTCGTAATCTCCAATTTTAAACATAAAGATAAGTTAAATGATTTAGCGTTGAAGAGATAAAAACTATAACAAAACACACCGGACATTTCTTCGGCGACCACACTTTTCGATTCTTGCATCAAAAACCAACTCATGCCCCCCATCCTTGTTGCATCCCAGTTCTCGCAAATCTTCATCACCATCTCAATGATGCTCACTAATTGTGCAGAGTCCGGTCGATGCTGGGGCTCGCCACTCCAACAGGACTCGATGAGATTTTGAAATTCCTTGGGCATATTAGTTGGAATTGTCGGTCTCACGCCTTTAACAATGTCCAGTGCCAGACCAATGTTATGTTCTTCGTATTCATAATAAGGTGGATTGGATGTAGCCATCTCCCACATTATCATGCCGAAACTGTAAATGTCGGATTTAAAGGTATATTTATTCCCACGAAGAACCTCGGGTGCTATGTAAGGTAGTACTCCTTCAATTACACTTGAATCTAAGTTCGCAAAATCCGGTTTTAACCATTCAGAATAATTGGCATTGATTGTGAAGAAATGAACAAAAATGACTCATCACCAGCTGAACTCTTAACATCGGTACACAATCCAAAGTCGCTAACAAATACCGAACAAGTTTCATCGTCTACAAGGATATTTTTACAATGAAAGTCTCTGTGAATCAAGTTGAGTTGATGAATTGATCGTAATGTATGTGCAAGATCAAGTAGAATCTTAATTTTTTCTTTCCAAGTTTGAGTGATAAACCGATCATGGAGAAAGTCCCGTAGGTCACCGTGTGTTGCATGTTTAATTACCATTGCATAATCCAAGGAATTAGGATCTTGAGTTAAACCATAGAAAGGTATGATGTTGGGAGAATACAACATGCATTTATGATGCATTCTTACCTATGGGAAATTAGTATGATGATAAATGGACTAAAATAAATAAATAATAATTATTATTAATCAAATAACTAGCATACTTCATCGATTAATCGCTTATCGACCTCGCAAGAATTTCTCACAAATTTCAATACGATCTTTTCGGGTAAAACTCTCTTTTTCGCAGATTTCTCATAATGGTCATCATATGAGGCCAAAGCGATTCTCGCGAATCCTCCTTGCGCCAAGAACTCAATGTTTCTGAAGAACTGGAATGGCATCCATTCGAGAATATTTTGTAAGGAGTTGGAATTCTCATGGGTTTCTTTGATTAAAGCATCGATTTGATGATTTCCACTATTCGATGTCATTATTCGAAGTTGGTAATGATGACTGTCAAAAATAGAGACTTATGATGGTTTCCGAGGTAGCACCTACGTGTCCATAATCTGTCACTAACTGCAGTTAATTCCGCAGCTTATGCCATAGCATTTTTCATTCGTGTGACGTTGATGTTACTTCTTGCACACGCTTTTGAATATACACAATATACAGTATATATATACATTATTTATAAATTATAAATAATCAGCAGTCATTAAAATACGTATTTCAGACTCCCAAAATTTGTTTTTGCAGTTTCGTTTATTATTTTTTTACAAACACTACCATATAAATATTTCAAAGTATGATTTCCTGAAAAAAAAAAAAAAAGAATAACAGTATTTATACAGGCATGTATTTTCAGTTCCTGTTTTAAGTAAAATGTCCAGCATTTATGATACAAGCATTATTTGCGCAGATAAAAATATGTTCGAACGAGTCTTTCAAACATCATATTCTTTGAGAATGTGTATGATATCTACATATTATGAAAATTTTTTAGTGATGTCAATCAGTGTAATGAGACTGAAACGAGTTAAACTTGTAATTTATAATTACCGTTGACGGTAAATGGATAAACTTGGGTCCTATACCTGAGATCTGTTGCGTATATTTTGATTAGATAAGATTAGCAGCACATACATTAAATGCATCTTTGATTAGAAAAAAAGAATCCTTTTCTTTACCCTCGGAGTCAATTTGATCATAAAACGAATTAGATGATCCAAATTCATTGAACCCAGCCATGTTTTTCCTATATTCTGCTGGAAGACCTGGTGTAGGGTAAATTGCGGCTTTGGAAATAACGTCGTACGAATGTCGGTTTTGGAATGATAGTTGCCCCAATCTTATTAGCAGACGAATTACTTGTCTTCCGGCAATTTCACATAACCATGAATCTAATACCAATACACCAAGTGTAAACAAAAAAGTCCAATAAATGATGTACACAAGAGATCGGATTGTGCCAATTTCTTCTTTTCGGAAAGATGCAGACATAAAGGTGTGTGTGAACTTTAAAAATGGAATAATCAGGGCACGAGTTAGGAAACGACATTGTTGTGAAAAATAATCAAGGTCCTCGATTTGTTCATTCTGACACCGCAAAGGTCCCTCGTCCGGATCCCAGTGATCATTGTGCATTGTCTCGTTAACTGTGTCATCCGTCATTGTCATTTCGTCAACGAAAGTGGTAAACTCCGTTAAACTCTTATTAAATTCTGACATGCTATATTCAAATAATTGTTCACTTCTGCTCTTTGACCTATGCCTTTTGGGTGTCTTATTCCCTCTTCCAAGATCTCTACCTCTACCTCTACCTCTATCATCATCTTCTTCTTCTCCGAATTCGCTTGATGAATCTTCTTCCTCTTCATCGAGAATACTTTCTTCATCATCATCGTAATAACTTTCTTCATATTCATCAAGGGCGGCATTAATTTGTGAAAAATCGATATCAGCTACTTTATTCTGGTCAAATTGCTTATATAGATTTTTCTCACGTCCTCTGACAGGCGTTTCCACGGACTCTTTAGCCTCGGTGATCATCGAATTCAACAGGTTAACCATCCTATCTAATGTTGGATCGTCTGTATCTGATTCTTCGTCAATGGTAGAATCCTGATTATTTATTAACGAAGATTCGTGTTCCAACAGTGGTGAGTCCAAAGATTTAGCTGATGTGAGTGTTTGCGATGTTTCTTGTGCTTCGAAATCGACGTTTGAGTCGGGAGCCGATTTTAAGAAATTTGTCACGTTCGACGAACCCTCATGAGAAGTTGTGGTGCTCGTGTTGGGTTCTGGTAAAACCTCTCGAGAATATGTGGCGTCAACATAAGACTGTGATGAAACCTCTTGAGAGTCTGTGGAATTTACGTGGATACCCTTAGGAACACATTCTTCCATGTTAGCACCGGAAGCCTCTTCCATTTTATGTTGAACTGGTTCTATTTCAAATAGTGCCTCAAAGCATTAGAGAGGGTTCGCGAACATTGAATGGAGCCCTAATACTTACCATTTATGTAGTCTTTCATGGTCTCTACGCTTTTCGGATTCGCAATAGATTTTAGCATGAAGACGGATTGTTGCGGATTATTTTTTTTGACCCCCTGAAAAGTTATCATTAATGAAATGTTAGGAATTTAGAATAAATCTTTGAAAAAAAAGATAACAGGTGACAAAAGTTAGATAAAAATTTTTCTACATTATCTAATGCGTCATGCTTTAGAACCAAATCTACTTGCTTTTTTTTATAACCTACAAAAATTTTTGCATACGTGTAATTATAATTATCCAACCGAACAGAGGTAAACAAATGGGAACTCACCTTCCTCTGTTAGCTCTACCTCCTCTTCCGACTCCACTTCTTCTTCCAGCTCTGTTTCTTCTTTCAACTCTACTTCCTCTTCCAGCTTGGCTTCTTCATTCAACTCAACTTCCTCTTCCAGCTCGGCTTCTTCATTCAACTCAACTTCCTCTTCCAGCTCGGCTTCTTCATTCAACTCAACTTCCTCTTCCAGCTCGGCTT